TCCAAACCACCAGGCACTCCATGGGAGAAAGGTGAGGTTTTCTACTGTAAAGAGTCACAGTGTCAGGTTTTCCATTGGTGAGTGCTGAAGGAGTAGATGCATAGAGATAAGAACAGGTGCAAGGGTTTATAAGGGAACCAGGGGTGGGGAGTAGGAGCTAGGGATTGTAAGGGGAGCACTATAGAGCTCATGGTGATTACACACTCATTTTAAAAGTGATTTAACCCTGGGGATGGGGGCTGGGGGTGTAGGAGGGTCTTAAAATTGTTTGTGGTAATGATTGTACAATTCTACTTGATATAATTGAATTATTGAATTGTGTGATATGTGGATTAATTGCCAATAAAACTGTTAAAAATTAAAAGAGACACAGTTTCAGCAACCCGCAGAGACAGTGCTGTCCTGTCCTGAAGAGTCACGCTGAGTCAGAATCACCTCAATGGCAGTGAATTAAAGGCACTCAATGAATACTTGTTGAATTAAAAAAAAAACTTGAAGCAAATTCAAAATTTGTGTTTCCTTTTAAATCATTAGCTCCCTCACTTCACTCCATCTCTGTAAGCTGCCAGGCTGGTTCAAAGTGGAAACTAAGCAGTGGCCTTTTGAGTGCTTTGGTGATTTGCAATACATCTTTTAAGATGAGAAAGAGAGGGTCGCAGGAAGCAGATTTCAAACTAAACCTTTACCTTTAGAATCAGCAAATAAATATCACATTTCAATTAGAATTCTAGTTAGTTGGTTGAGTCATGGCAGCTGTTGGCTAAGGAAGTTGTACATGGACGCTCGGGTTTGTGTATTTTCCCAAGCATTAGAGAGAGAGCAAGGAGGAGCTCTGTTGGTGTGACTGAGTCAGTGTTGGGCTGCTAATTGCAAAGTTGGTGGTTCAAATCCACCAGTCACTCTGTGGGGGGGGGGAGACTTTCTGCTCACATACAGATGTATAACCTTGGAAATGCTAGGTAGACACAATGGTAGTAAGTTTGGGTTTTAAGAAATAACTTGTTAGTTCGTTTTTCTCTAAAAATGCGCTCTATGTCACCCACTGCCATTGAGTCAGTTCCAACTCACAGAAAGCCAAAATAGGATTTTTGAGCTGTAAATCTTTATGGGAGCAGAAAGCCTCGTCCTTCTCCCATGGGCTGGCTGGGAGAACCACTCGGTAGGCCATTAGAAGTCCAAGGGTAAACCTGGCAGCAGCAGCAGAGCTCTATTTCCTTCAAGTTCCCTGTCTTGGAGTCAATTCTGACTCACATAGATGCTATAGGATGCAGTAGATCTGTCCCTGTAGATATCCAAGACTATAAATCTTTTGGGGAGAAGAAAATTTCATCTTTCTCCAGCAGAACAGCCAGTGGTTTTGAGCTGCTAACCTTGTGGTTAGCTGCCCAACATATAACCCATTATACCACAATTAGGACTATTTACAAATACATCTTGATTCTTTTAGGACGCTACTAAATTAACTGCAATTGAGTATCATGTTTTTCCTCTGAAAGTGGCAAAATTTACCACTAAGGGGTAGCTTACATGTGAAATACAATCAACCAAATACTATTGATTCCAAGGACACTAACATTTAAATTAATTTTTAAAGGCAGCAGGAAAGAATAACCGTGTTTATTCAGAGCATATCTAAATGATTTAGTAAAGAAATAGGCTTGATCTATCACATCTCTAGGTTCTTTGTCAATACATTTGCACATCTTCAAGAGTATTTCAATGTTGTCAAGTCTTAAATAACAAGTAATATGTTATATTTAAGGGTAAGCTCTTTGAGAGAATGAGCCACATCTAAGTCATTTTGTGTCATATAGAACAGGCTAGCTGGCTTAACAAATTTTTCAAAAGATATGTTTCCAATAAATCCACTCCTTTAGTTATTAGGCATCATGTTATCCATAAAGATGCAGTGACAAATGAAACAGAGACCACGGCCCTCTCAAAGCTAACCTTCAATTAAAGCAGGGGGAATAGAAATGTCGTGTAGATAATGGGATCCCTGAGCCTGCGGACGTCCACATCTGTTGTTGTCTTTCACTTCCCAGTTACCTCCAACTCGTGGTGACTCTCCATGTACAATCCTCACCATCAATGAGATGATCTGTGGTGACCACAGTGTGTTTTCAGTGCCTTCCAAACTGAAGGCTTATTTTTCCAGCACTACATCAGATAAGATTTTCTTGTGATCTATAGAGTTTTCATTAACAAAGTTTTGGGGGAAAAGAAGTATTGCATTAGGTAAATCTGCTGCACAAGACCTCTTTAGAGTATTGAAGAGCAAGGATGATACTTTGAGAATTAAGATGCACTTGACCCAAGCCATGGTATTCTCCATTGCATCATATGCATATGAAAGTTGGACATTGAATAAGGAAAATCGTAGAATAATAGATGTACTCAAATTGTGGTACTGAAGAAGAATATAGTACGATGGACTGATCAAAGTACAAACCAAACTGTATTGAAGGAAGCAAGACCAGAGTGTTCCTTAGAGGCAAGGATGGCAAAACTTTGTCTTACATACTTTGGACATATTGTCAGGAGAGACCAGTCCCTGGAGAAGGACATCATGCTTGGTAAAGTGGAGGGGCCATGAAAAAGAGGAAGGCCCTGGATAAGTTGAATTGACACTGTTGCTGCATCAATGGGCTCGGGTGTTGTAACAATTGTGAAATAGGTGCAGGATCACGCAGTGTTTTGTTCTGTTGAACACAAGGTCGCTATGGGTCCGAGGTTACTTGATGGCATCTAACAACAACTTTAGGAAGTAGATTGCCAGGTCTCTCCCGAGTCTCTCTTAGTCTAAGAGTTCTACTGAAGCCTGTTCACTATGGGAAACCCTGCTGGAATTTTAAATACCCATGGTACCATTTACAGCAGCAGTTCTCAACCTGTGGGCCGCGACCCCTTTGAGGGTTAAACCACCCTTTCACAGGGGTTGCCTGATTCATAAGAGTAGCAAAATTATAGTTATGAAGTGGCAATAATTTTATGGTTGGGGGGTCACCACAACATGAGGAACTGTATTAAAGGGTTGCAGCATTAGGAAGGTTGAGAACCACTGATTTACAGTATCATAGTATCACTCAATCTTCTAGAGTACAATAAACTTACAGAAAAATAGTGGCTTTCACACATAAAACCTTTGGGGTCAAGCCAATGCTGACTCATAGCTACATATATAGCAGATTTGCAAAACTAAAATATTAAGTTCACCTAAAAAGACCATGTTGGAAGTGTAGAACAGAACTGAATCAGAGTGAGGAGAAGAGAAAGCAAAAGGTAAGAGACATGGAGCAGAGGAGATAAGTGAGAACGTAGGCTTCTGAGACACTGACGTGTTGAAGTCCAGAGGGAGAAGGGAGTCAGTAAGTGACCCTCGAAGGAGGGTCCAGAAAGGAGGAAAACAAACAGAACATGGATTGTCCCTGAGGCCGAGTGATTTTTTTCAACAACGTATTTGTTGAGTTGTAGTCGATTAATATGGCCCTTCCAGCCATGGTTCTTTGCGTGATGTATCATCATTCTGGACTCTATGCCTGCGGCTGTGATCTCCCTTTGGACAGAACTAGAGTGGGATGAAGGCATGCTCTTAGTAGAGAGCATGAACCAAATCCCACCCTTTATATCCTTGGGAGGAGACAAAAGTCACGTCTCCACCAAAGCCATGTCTCTCTGTGTAAGAGCTTTCTTGGACACAGAGAGAAAGCCCAGGACCATCCGAAGAGCACATTGTGCCGGAAGTGGCAGAGGCTGAGACCAGAGGCAGCAGACGCTGTGGCACAGATGCTATGGGACAGAGCAAAGGAGCCAGGCTGAGGCCAGAGGCCAAGGCAAGGAAACCATGAGATGGACAGAGGAGCACGACTGAGACTGTGGGACTGTGAGACACAACAGTGGGTGGGCTTCCTGGTCCACAGATGCCAAGGGACCATGTGGCTGAGAAATGGAGGGCCAGGTAGGAACTTGGCAGCTGGCTGAGGAGAGGTGTTGTTGTGGACCACTGACAGTACCCTTACTGTGAACGGATCCTGACTTGTGGCAGCCAGTTAATTTCTGTAACAACCCTATCATTGTGAATATTGCCAGTTAGTTCTGAGTGGCCATTGCAGGGAACTGTTGAATCTAGCAGAGACGGTGATTGCCATGAGAGGGACGGAGCCCCTCACAATAGGTGAAGAAGGACGAAGACTGGAGACATAGCCAGCCCCTGCCTCATGGCAATAGGAAAGCCAGAGGAGGTCAAGATACAGCACATCCCGTGCTGTTTAATGCATTGTTAAATTGTCTGATTCAGGAAAATGCTAGATTACACATTGGGCTTCTAACTGCAAGGTCAGCAGTTTGAGATCATCAGGCACCCCATGAGAACAATGAAACTTTCTATTCCCATTTAGATTTACAGTTTGGGAAACGTGGGACAGTTCTACCCTGGCCTATAGGGTCATGGTGAGTTGGAATCAAGTCTAAGGCAGTGAGTTTTTCACAAAGTCCAGGTCAATAAGCATTAGAATCTTAAATTCCTGAACAGTCTCTCAGGTCTTGATGTAAATGTTACTCTACATGGCCGCCAGCATGGAGACACGTCCATGTTGTCTGACAGTCACTTTCAACGACAATTTAAAAAATAACCAAAGCAATAAATAGATGAACATGTTGATGTAGTTTACCTCCAATGTAAATAAAATGTGTTTCTGCTGCTCAAGGAGATCATTTGCGTGTTTGAAACTACCTTTTATATCATAAAAGATTTTAAAATTTGTTTCAAGTTTACTTTTCTACCGCTCATAACCGCCGAGACCAGTGTTCGATGGGTAGGTGTTTGTTTTTTTTAAGGCCATGGCCCTCGTTTCTTTTATGAATTTTAAGTGTTTTCATTTTGATTCTGGTTTTTCTATTTATAGGGAGAAGTCTTTTATGACTGGATAAAAGTATCTTGGTTTATGAGGTAATGATGTGGCTTTAATCCTAACATTAAAACATGTGTTATTTTTTGTCAGGAGTTTGGGCAAACCCTCGACACATTATCATCAATTCCTCAACAGTGGAATTACATTGGAGTCAGCCAGAAAAGCCCAATGGCCTCATTTCTCAGTATTGCCTGAGACGAAATGGAACCTTGGTTTTCCTGAGTGGCAGTGAGGGACAGAATTTCACTGATACAAACCTGGAGCCCAACAGCAGGTAAACTGAAAGAAAACTTGACCAGTCTTGCAGTAGGATTTTTACCTTTGAGGCGGGCAGTTGAAAAATAGCACATCTCCTATTGAAACAATAGTCAATTACCTAATCCAGCCATCAATCAATCTACGCATTCGTTAACCATGCTGTTGCTGATGATCTTTACATCAAATGACAAAGACCCAGGGGCTAAACCATTATGTTAGTCTGCAGATAATAAATATCCAATTCCTTAAAATGTAAGTAAACATCAAAATATGGGAATTAAACTCTCCTGGAGAAGAACCTTTAAACATATAAAATATAGAAAGCATACACATTTTTAAGTCATGGAATTAGCTTCAAAAACTGGCATTGTGAAACTAGTAATAAAAGAGATTTAAAGTTTTTTTCTACATCATCTACCTTTTGTGTAATATAATGCCCTCTTTACTTGTTAAACTCTCAATAGCCATAAGAAGTTTTAGGTGAAAAAATTCCATATATTTTCAATTCATTCCCATTAATTTCTCAGCAGAAACAAAATATATTTTAGATCAACACAATGTGTTATTGTAGAGAGGAGAGATCAATTTAATTTTATTGTACAGAGTGGAAATCAATTTAGAAACCCTTCTCACTGCATAATTTCCTGAACTCCAACCCATTTAAAAACAGATGATTAATCTGAAGCTTCCACCACCTACTTGTACATTTCAAGACCATCCTGAACGAGCTAAGAAAAGCCGTGACTTGCTGTTGCTGTCGTGTGCCACTGCAGCTCGCTCTGACCTGTCCCCAGAGGGCTTCCACCCTGTAATCTGCCCTGGAGCAGATTGCCAGGCCTTCTCTCTGAGGAGCTGCTGGTAGGTTTGAACCTCTGGCTTTCCCATTAGCAGCCTGGCACTGAAGGTTAAATATAAAGTCGGGAGGGGCAGCAATAGTATACTGTCTTGGGCTGATAAAACTAAGATTACAGCAGGAGCTTTTGGACAGGGGCTTAAGGACTGGCAGTTGGTGACAAATTTAGGACTAGTAAATCTATAGAAAAGCCAGTGATCTTTGTTCAAGTTTCTTGTGTGTTGCTTTATATTTTAATTCTTTGTTTACATACAGATATGTTTATAAATTGGAAGCCCAAACTGGAGGTGGCCGCAATACTAGTGATGACTATGTTGTGCAAACACCTGCATGGGCACCAGAAGAAATACATTCTCCATATAATGTAACAGTAAACGGGCCTAATTCCATATTCCTAGCTTGGACCCCACCAGGTAAGTAATTAAAGTCTCCCTTTCTCCTTTTACCTTCTATATGTGTGTATGAGGCATTTAAAATGAAATAAGAGATAAAGATACACGTGTACATTTACTAAATCTAAAGGACGTTGTGTATCTCCTGCATAAATATGAACACAGTAATCACTGAACACACTGTTGAGTATGCAAATGCATTAGTACACACATACATGCACACACACCTTTCTATCAAAGTCTATTTTCCTTCAAGTGCCCATGCCTTAAAAATAAATACATCTATCTTCTTACTTGTATATACAAGGCAAATCATTTAGGCTGTGATTACCTTGAGCGTTCCTTTGCAGAGGACTCTAGATTGAGTCATTGGCATTATGCCTTTCCTTGTAAGTTATTTTGTGAATACGGAATTTGGAAAGACAATAGTGCCTCCACCTGTGAACTGAGACTGGTTCAGATGGCTGAATCTGGCCTCAGTGTGCTGTGTAGCCTCCATTGAACCATCCAGTCAATGGTGGGTTGCTCTTGTAATTTTGTGTATTATTACATTGTGATGTAAGCAGGTCAAACTCTGTAGTATAGGGATTAGGGTGAAGATATGTCTGCATTCTTTATTAATAGAAAGGACACATGAAGATTTAGGTCCAGTAAAACTTCCGTGTACTGCAAAACTGTCTAGTTTTTTTTTTATATCTAGTCTTAACATGAAATTGAATAAAATTCCCATCAGAATAAGCTTAGCTGGAATTCACAGTGGCACTGTAACAATTGGTTCACACTGTCATTTTGTCCATTACCAGATCTCTTTCATAAAATAATTAATAGACTCATACATTTCATTGAGTTAAATAGTCATCTCAGACAAAACCAGTAATATAGCCACAGAGGGGAAGGCCCAATCAATAGACCTCACCAGGTGGCACAATCAGTTTGTGATCTACAATTCAAACCCATCAACTGCTCTCACAATAATTACAGACTACATATGGATACATATACATATATCTAAACATACACCTATATATATATTCCTTCATACCCTGTGAATCCGTTCTACTCTATAACACATTGGGTTCCCATAGAGTTTGGGGTGGTTGTTGGTCGATACCGTCAAGTCAAACGCATAACAATCCTCAGTGCAACAGACCGAAATGTTGCCTGGCAGCACCTCATCTCCGTGGTCATTCGTATTCTAGATGCACTCTTGCCACCCTGGTGTTTTGCTGGGTTTTTTAGTGCCTTTCAGCCTAGCAGATCTTTCCTCTTGCACCACTAACATGAGGTGATGTTCTATTGTGATTCAGAGAGCTTCCACTGACTAATTTTCAGAACTAGACCATCAGACCTTTCTTCCTCTAGCATCTTAATCTGGAAGCTTCACAAAAGCCATGGTGACCCGCTTATATTTGCAGTCCCGGTGACATAGCATCCAGATCATAGTAGTATGCAAACCAACCACCACAGTGAGACAAACGGACAGTGAACATAGGCCTGAATGCTCATAAAGCTGCATCCTTTTGAAGTAAGTCAAGACCAAAGAGAAAAGAATCTGTACTTCCTCAGATTAAAGAGAGAAAATCTACTAAGAACTTTCTAAGTACAAAAAAATGTAAGTTGTTCTAAGAGATTAAATATAAATGATTCTATCTATCTTTGTTTTAAAAACGGCAACATATTAAATTAGACAGAGAAGAATAATGAATAATGCTAGAATGTTCACTTTATCTAAGATTTACATCTCAGAAGGATAGCTATATTTGAACTCTGTTCTTAACTTCAATTGAGGTAAACACAAATCTGCCCTGAAAAAATATATACAAATGTACACATAACACTCTTTACAGAATTGATGTCTACTTCCAAGAAACAGTATTGCTATCTTGTGACCTGTTAGCATGCTTCCGGTATGGCACTTTTTTTTAATGCTATTGTGGTCTTGCTCCGGGAACTAAAATGAGACTGGAAACAGCCGGTCATTGACTGATTCAGTCTTGTGTTGTCTTAACGTTTCTTTACCTTATTTCTCTGATTTCTAATATCCATTGCAATGACTACAAAGAACTCACAGAAAAAATTCATGATTAGTGGGCTTATTGAGGAAATGATCAAGTTGTATTGCCAGTGAGAAAAGTTCAGGGTCAAGTTGTTCATCAGGACTTCTTACAAAGTTCTTTCAGGACTGCTCATCAATGCCCAAAGGCCTTCCTCTCTGCTGGAAGCCTCAACCCAAAGGCATTCAGCTCAAATGCCATCAGTCAGCAAACCCGGCTCCCTGAATTAAGTGCCCAGCGGCACCAAACTCCAGTAAGCCTCAGCCTGAAGGCACTCTGCTCCATTCCACGGGTCAGCAAGTAACAGTTTCCCCAATTAAGTGCTCAGAGGCACCCCACTCTACAAGCCAGCCTTCTGCACAAAAGCATTCAGCTTTACTTGCTTTGTGTGTTGGGAAGTCCTTCACTTTGTTCCATGCTCAGGGTCCTGGTACTTCTGCTCTTCGGATGTTTTAGTTGTCTTCTGGATCCAGGAAGTTCACTGCTCAGAGGATTCGTTTTATATGCAGCAGGGTGGCCCTGCAGAGAAGCCTGTTCATAACAACTCACAAAGGAATCCTGTCAGAATCTTCCCCCAAGCTGGAGGAAGGTCGTTTGGTAGAAATTAGGGACTTTGACTAGAAGAGCCACGTTAAATAATTCATTAGCCTTGCAAGTCTACTGATCAAACATTTCTCAGATTCAAACCAGGGTCTTCTGCATTCCACATTCTCAAAGAACAATGAGCAAAAACATCAGGATGATAAGCAAAGTTGATGATTTCATAGCTCCATGACCAGGAAGTTCATGGTCTAGCAAGTCATCAATTATTTTGATATTTATATCCATATAAACTGTATTTGCTGATCTGAAGACTTCACATTCAGTGCATATTTTTTAAAAAAACCTTTCTTGGAAAGTAACCAAAGGAAAATGAAAGAGAAAGCCAGGATTCATACCCCAGTAGTGTCATTTATTAGCTGACCTTTGACAAGCCAATTTCTCTCTTTTACCCTTAGTTTTCTCCATCTATTCAAGGGAGATAAGGCTATTACATATATATAGGGTGATATTAAAGATTAAATGAGATAATTTAAATAATTGATATATATCATCTTATCTACATAATAGTCTGTAGATAGTGAATATTATTGTTGTGGAGAATTACTTTTCCGTGCATTTTTATTCATTTTTAATGTATTGGGAAATTTCCAAGATTTCAAACTTTTCAGCATTTTAGTTTTGCTTTTTAAATTCAGCATCACATTTTATCTTTATTATTTCCATGTAAAAAAGGACTAAGGTAAATGAAAACACAATTGTCACTTGTTTAATATATCCTTAACTCTGGCCTTCCCTGGGCTTTGCAGAAATCTTTCATTCTAGTCCAGCCCGGGGGATAGTGTGGAAACGCTTTACCCACATACTCTGGCCATTTAACCAATGGTTAATAAATCTATAACATTCACACCTGTCAATCTTTTCGTTTCAGATGCACAAAATCCATTACAGAGACCCTGTAATATATGGAAAGATTAAAATCTTAAATTAAACTTTTTCCTGGTGCCTAGAAGGATTTTAACTCAGTAAACAGGCAGATGATTTTTGACTTGTGTATAATCTAAAGTTGATTTTATTGGAAAATACCTCATGCTGTGTTTTGATTTGGATAATAAGAACATCTTTTCTGCTCCTGAATAGTCACAAATATATATATTTAAAACAGAGAGAAAGCGAAGTTGTCCTAACAGGAGGTTATCAGTTTGCTTCTGCTCAAGAGCATGCTAGGTATGCCTCCTACTTCCGTAACATTACAGAGAAATTACATGAGGCACAGAGCTGAATAATGCCGCGTAAGCCTGAATGAACATTAAGGATCAAATGGAAAGATTTTGCAAAGACAGATGCCTAACCCCAAATTTACTGGACCAGAATCTCATGAGATGGAGTCAAGGAATCTTGATCTTCATGAAAACTGCTCAGGTGATGTAGAGACGCTACCAAATTTAGAAGTCTTGGGTTTTACACATCAAGACGTGGTTAATTGCAGTGATTCTCTGAAAACATCAGTCACACCAGTTTCTCATAAATGTCTAGTGGCAATATATAGTTTATATTCTAACTGAAATGTGTTTTATGGTGAACATGATTTTAGGCAGGTAAGTTATTGGGAGGGAAAAAAATAGTCTATGTAAACATCAACCTGTATAGCAAGAGAAAAATTACTTAGATAACTAACAAGGTCTTTAATTTTTTAATTATGGTTTCAATGCTCTCTTTATATTATTGTATTACAAGTTTAGACATCTTCCTGGTTAAATGGGGTGATAGCTAGCTAGGGAACACGTGAGTATATCCGGGGGCCAGGGAGGTTGAGGACGTGAGTAACTATAATAGTGATTGTATATATACATTTATATTATGTGCCACTCATTAAATCCCTACTATGTGCCAAACACACAGATAAGCCTTTCCCCTGCTTTACTTCAGTTCATTTCCATGCAAACCCAAGGAGACAACAAATTGTATCACCCTCATATTAAGATAAAAAAATTGAATCTTAAAGAAGTAATTCAATATGCTCAAAGTCACACGGCAGAGCCAGGAGTCAAACTCAAGTCTGCTCTCAGATTCTGCCTTTATAGAGCTATTCTTGTATGGGGGCATAACTCTTAATCAAACTATTATGTAGTGCCCATATCCTCTCAGATTTCTGATGGAATAACTAATTTTTTAATAGTATCCTAAAAGGCCAAAACCGAAATCCTTGCCAGCCAGATGATTTTGATTCATGGTGACGCTAAAGAACAGAGTAAAATTGCCTCTGCAGAATTCCTACACTGCACTCTTTACAAGAGCAGACCCACCGCTTTCTCCCACAGAGCAGCTGAATTTGAGCAACTACCTGGCACTTCACCACCCCCTCACTTGGTCCTCCAAGAAACCTATCCCCACTTCTGTAGAGTCAATTCTGACTCATAACAACCC